GGAACTGGGAGTGAAAAGATCAATTTAGGAATCGGACGTACAAAGTACATTGCATAATACGATCATACGATCATCCAGCATGTATGGCGTAACCAACGCCTATCTATCCACACTGATGAATGGATATCGCGCAAACATCTACCCAAATCAAGAATACAGTTACCTTGGTAAAACATTTCATTGACCCAATAACCGACCTGATTACGTACACAATTTAAGGTAATTGGGACAGAGCAAATCAAAGAGTGATTCAATTAACCCAACAGCCGAGGAAATGAAGTGGTAAGGAATGCATGTTTTCGTATCACTTAAAATCAGACTCGGCATCAGAAAACTCACAGATATTCTCGATAAGAGTCGAACAACAATAATGATTGAACTGTTCCATTCTTCACTTCGTGATTACTTCTGTGCATATCTCCGAGTAAGTACATAACACTTGGGATAAAAACCCTTCTATCAATTCTGAATCTGAGTTGAGAGAACTATTTATTCTATGATATTACTACTCGTGAGTAGTCAAACAATTAGAACAATACTTGAAGCTCTAAAGTTGGTGATTCTGTAGACGAAATTCCCTAGCGAGTTGGAAGCGCAAGATAATTCAAAATTTATTTCATCAGTTTATTTCATCTGAGAGTAGTATATGAATTCCTATATTATGAAACGCCCAGTGATTTAATAAACGCCTTCTTTGATTGCTATTCAGAACTCAGTCCTTCCGGTACAACTGCGCTGAAGCCCACATCCACAACTAAGTGTATTGCATTGTGTTGAAGCTTTAGTGAGTTATATACAAGCTTTCATCCTAAAATAGGACACGATTACAAATCTGGTAAGAAAAGATGAAAACGTGGGACGTTAAACGCAAAAAAGTATGAGTTAATTACCAAACGCATTAGAAAGCTCAGAGTGAACACTTTCTTTGACGATCAGTATCCGAGCAAGATAGGGGACCAAAGAGTTTCTGTATGCAGATATGAGAGACCGGATAAGTTTGTACTTGGAACGGGTGGAGGGGTGGGATTTGCAGGCATACAGATCAATGTGTAAAGTATGGGTGCGATCACAGGATATTTTTAGCAAACTTAAAGCACGCATGAATATCAGCGGTACATATATGGTCGATTAGAACAGATAAGATGACTTGGAAAATTACAGGAGAACGATAAAGAGGTATAGGGAGGACACATTGTTGAACGAAAGTGTTTATCACCGACGAGTCAGAACAGAATTGGCGCAGTTTTCTGATTTGAAAAGAGAGCCTTTTCAACTTGCGAGCAATACTTTGGGTATGTATGGACCAGCGAAGGTTACTTTCAAGTGTGACACCTAAGTACTTCACATGGCTGACCCTTTTCATCGGTTTTCCATGAATCTGGACATTGTCGGAGGGAGATGGGGTATGGTTTAGAGTAGAAATACATTCATGGCATTTTTCAGGATTAAGATTAAGACCGGAAGAAGTGGAATATGAAACTAGGTGGGATATGTTTGTATTATATACAACCAGTTTTGATTGGTTGGATATGGAAACAGAAATGGCGATATCATCAGCATACAGGGAGTCATAGGGAAGTCACTGATACAAGTCACAAAAAGATAGGGTGATAGGGTGAAGTATATCCGAGCAATTAAGTGATGTGGTTAGCTATCTTCTTCCCTTTTTCACACACTGAGATTGTTAAGAAAATTAATCACTAATCCATTCAAGAAAAAAAGTGGGACAGCCAAAAGATTGGAGTTTGTTAAGTCAAAGAGAACGGGGTGCCGAGTCAAAAGTTAGAGAATAGTCAAGAAGTGCACAGTGAACATATTTGGCTTTCTCGTTAAGGGACATATAGATGAAGTGAACTAGAGAGGAAACGGCATCCAATATAGTTCAGTCATAATGCTACGCCAGTTCTTGGGTCAGATTTCCCTTGGGAATCGTTTTACTGTCCGCAGAATCAAACGGGGTGAATGTCATTCAATCGGAAATTAGAACAAGCTTGAATCGTTACTTCCGGTCATCTGTGATGTGACAATAAATACGTTCTATCAACTAACTCTAACGACAGAACTTCTCCAGTATACTGTTTACTGAGCGAGGGCAAGATTATGCGTGATGTCCATAGGAAGGCCTGTTAGTATTAATATGTTTCCTCCCACTGTGGTTGAAATCTGCAAGGTTCGAGATTTATTTATTTAGATCGTGACATGGATAACTTAATTTTACCATAGGAATTCCTACAGCATCGAATTGAAATGGATTGGAACTAATCGCCACCGAGGGACAGTGCCTGTATTTACCCCATGTTACTGGATCCGTGGGGTCCAGTGTAACGGACAGAATACGACAATCTGATTGGTCCATTCTATTGCTCTGCATCAGTTCTCTCGTAATTTCCATTCCGGAAGAATCTATACGGCGCGCAACCCCATAAATATATAGCACGGTTCTCCATTGGTCAATACACATATTTAGGCGCTACCGATAAACGTTCACACATTTTCCAATTAGCGTTTAACTGGAGTCGCTGGAGAAACGTCTCGCAGTTCACGAATCAGTGACAACCGGGGTACGGGCGAAACGGAAGTTACAATGAATTGTTTGGGGCTGACCAGTTCCAACATCTTTTAGTGCAGAAACTGAAAGAAGCAAATAGAAGCTCAAATGAAACTGTGCAAATCACTGACGCAGCCTGCGAACACCAGATCCTGTTTCGCCTGAAAGGTAGTCCAATTTGATCGTTGATTTCAACTATGATTATGAAGCTGATAAAAAATTTCGAAGCGAGATGCAAACGTTGGAAAAACCTGTTTCGAACAGATTTCAGTTGTCAAGACGATGCATGGAAAATGCGACAAGTTGTCTGTAAGCTTGGGTCAAACGAACAGTCCAGATTTGTTGACCATATTCTTCTCAAACAGCCCAAGGATATGAAATTTGACGAAGTGATCTTGTTCAGTATCCGTTACGAGTATCTGAAAATTGGCAAACGGGATACGGAGGGTTATGGGATGCTTACCGATTTAGTCAATCGTAAGTGCGAAAGGTTCAAACTTTACTCATTGACCGATGAGCAATACAAAGGCCACATTTTCACCAGAGCACTGTAGAATTCAGAAGATGCGGACATTCGTACCCGTTTATCATCCAAACTTGATTTGGACCCGGGTGTAAATCGGAATTCTTTCATGGCCGATTCCAGACATCTTCTCTGCCCGAAGCATGATACTGCGTTGGCCAAAAAGAAGATCCACACAGTTGATATCAATCAAATGTATTGCCCAAATAATCAGCCATCCGTGACAAGCTTCAAACGCCTGTTAGTACATTGGTCCAAAGTGCACCATGTTGTGTTTGGTCTAAGCGTACGAATGACACGAGCGACTCTTTCTTAAGCCCCAACGACAACGCGGAGAGAGAACATAAGGTCTAGACACAGTCAGCGTGTATTCTTCGATAAGTTATCGATATGCGAAACATATAGACTAATAGTGCATTCGAGAACGGTGCAGTGACGCACCAATCAGGTATTGTCCTTGACATGTCGATTGGATCGATTGGACAAACATTGGATGATACGTTCTGTGACCATCCAATCAGGTTCAGCCTGTCTGGAGCGTTGGGAGCGTGCGTGTGGCCTGACTCGGAGGCGTGCGTGGGGCCTGACTCGGAGGTGTGCGTGATCAGACGGGTTTCTTAGGCTCCGTCCTAACACGCCAAACGCGATCACAAGAAAGAATGTTGCAGATCAACCAGATACACTGAAATCAGTTGGAAGGAAGCGATACACCGGAGGTTCAGCAAACGATTTTCAGAAACACGCTCATTTGTCGAGTCTTTGCAAACAGATGGCCACCCAAAAACAAAACTCCCCACTGTACTCATCAAAAGTAAACCAGCCAAACTGCAGTTAGGCACAGCCTCAGACATCACGCTAATCTCTGAAGGTACATGGAACCACGTTGGGAGGTCAACATTCGGCTCATTTGTTAAAGAGACGGAAAAAACCTCAAGAGGTTAGCTGAAATCGACGGGTAAAATCAACTGGGACATTTTGTTTCAAGGTATAACCACAAAAATTGGCAATTTTTACCTGGCCGATCTATCTAATTTGAATCTTCTCAGTCTTGATTGGATCGAAAAATCCGAATTATTTTATGTTACCGTGAACCAAGTGTGCCATCAAGTCCGAATAGCGTACAGGTCTACATCCTCGATTACAGGCGTGATACAATCACTAAAGCTGAACTTTGCATCTGGATTCCAGGAAGGCCTTGGTCATCGCTCACAGTTCCGTGCCTCACTTTCACTGAAGCCAGATTTCAAACCGATGTACCCTAAGCCGGCATGGAATCAGTCAACGCCAAATTAAACCGATTGCAGTAATCTGGCATCATCAAGCCGGTCAATTAATCCTCATAGGCCGATTCTTATTGTGATCATGACGAAAGCCAATCACAAGGTGCGCATGAGTGCCGATTTCTCAACGGATCTGAAAGCCTCACTAGAAGATCACCAATATCCGCTTCCAATACCAGAATTTATCTTCGCAAAACTGAATGGTGCTACCTGCTTCGGGAAACTTGACTAATCGAATGCATATCACCAAGGGAGATTCGGACGATTGACACTCATCGTTTACCATTCGGTGTCAAATCTGCACCAGTACTTTTTCAGCAGCTGATAAACACAATGTTGAATGGTACATGCACGGGTACTGCAGCACACTTGAATGACATCATAATGGTGTGGCGAACAAAAAAAACGTTTTTAGCCAACTGAAAGCAGTGCTAAAGAACATCCAAGATTACTGGTTCAGAATCCGGGAGGACAAATGTGGTTTGTTCATGTTCTCATGTCAAGTGTCTCGGTTTCATATCGGACAATTTTGGCCGCTAACCTGATCCAGAAAATATCGAAGCTATTTAGAATATGCTAATACTGGCCTGGCTTGTCGACTACTTCACAAACAGAACTCAGCATACTCGGCTAGGTAGGAAAAAGTCTAAACCACTCATGAACAATTCGGGAGTGCTACAGGGTGCCCTACTATCTCCATTCTTTTTTTTGGATCCACATCAATGATCTGTCAGCGAATTTTCATCCCACTTGTTTAAATATGCTGATGACGTAGACCTCTGCCAAGCCATTTCTGTGCCTGAGGACCTTCTAAACTTATCGAATAATCTATCGCAAATCCACGAATTTTTCGTTCATTCTGGACTGTCTCTTAATTTATCCAAGTGCTTCGAATGCACTTTCTCCCTCTTTCAATCTACTTATCCCAGTGACTCCTCGGTCATAGACAGATAACCTAACTAGAGTAGATTCAGTGAAGTATTTAGGAGTTACAATTGACACAAACTTAAAATGGGCATCCCGTATTTACAACTCTGTACAGAAACTTCACAGCTTATCTTCCCAACTTCGAAGACTTAGGCAATTCAATCCCAAACAAAAAATCATTTCACTTTTTGTTTATCAATCTGTTTTCCCCGTACTTCTTTATTGTTTCCCGGTGGTTTTTGCTGGTCTACTCACGAAAGACTTCAAAATTCTTCGTCGAGGTTTGTCGATCATCAGTCGTGTGTATTTTATACCCACTGATGATCCATCTAACAAGCAGTGTGAAATAAATTTGTCCGCATGTAAAACATTTGCACGGCAAATCCTCTCGGATCCCAATTATCCGTTACAAGGCGATCTATCAAAATGCTGCTTTCATTCATCTGCACGTTCTACATATCGATCGCTCCTCTCTCGCATTAACCTCTACGGAAATTCCCCAGTCCCCTAGCTCGCCAGGATCCATTGAAAACCGACAGCGCATTTATTCAGAATTTCTCAGTAACCTCGGACATTAACTATTTTACTTGCATTTTTCCTTCCATTGATGAGATGTGTAAATTTTTGACTGAAATGCGAACATTCTGTTCACGCAGATGTCTATACAAATACAAATGCAGTGCGTTTCTTCCTGATACACATCGTGTCTGTGCTCTAGTGAACCAAATCCGAGCGAAAGACTATACAGGCTGTCAGGCACACTTTTATGCATCACTCTGTCGATCAGCTGATTGACTGGAAGAATTTCGCGTGTGACTACTATTCAGGTACATCAGCCGCTTTGATAGAAGCTCACATGTGATATCTCAGTCGGATTGAATTTAGTCCACACCATGTGTAACGCTATCCTCCGCGAAATCGTGATCGGCTTGAAATAAATCGTGATTCCTGGTCTCATTCTAATTCAGCCTAGTGTCTATAAGCCTATTGTCGATAAAATCACATCAATCTCTTGTTATGTAGCACCCCTGAGAAAACGCATTTTCTAATATCTTTCCACTTTTTGTAAAACCCAAACCAACCGCATGCTTAATAACAGAATCTGACTATGCAATGTGAAACACCTCAATATGTCGCAATTCCTGATAATTACTCATTTGATCGTCGACCAATGATCGGGACGGTCAGTGACCAGCCACACTGCAATGTCGCACCGAGTCAATGGTATTTCACCTAGTGTGACGGGAGCATGACACTGTTTACTGATTGGATAATCTTTACGAGGAAGACATATCGATGCCAACAATCGAAGACAGTGTCATTTGACGTCAGAATGTGTTGGAAACGCCGAATCAGCCAGGTGAAACTTAGAGCTCCGTAGCCGACTCACTTAGTACTTCAAGAAAAACTGTTTACCATGTTATATCCCATCGGGAAATCTGTGAATACTGGAGCATCTCAAGAAAGATGTCATCTAAAAATAACAATGAAAAGTTCTGGACATTGAATAAGACAACCTTGGCTTGGTTTACTGTTACTGGATCTATTGAAGTTGTTTACCTTGTCCAATGCTCCGATTTCGGATCGGCTACAGAATTGTACAATTGATTTAAACAACGCGTTTGTTGATTTCTGAAGAAGTGTCGATGAAATAAGACAGATCATTGTAACCCGGATCTGACGAGCTCCTGACTGTTTGAGCGATACCCTTTTAACTTGCGAATCACTTGTTGAGCTTAATCCGTCACTCATGTTTAACCGACACTGATCATAACGAATGCATTAATCGGTTTGAATATACACTGATAACAACAAAAGCAAACCAAATAATAGATGTATAGAGAGCTATCATTACACATTTCTCATCAAAAAATCATGAATAGATTGCACAAGGAATAGTCAGTTTGGAATATGAGAAAGAAGTCAATGTACCAATTATATTCCGTAACGCATATTTCACTTATTTTAGATGACTTGATTTCCTTCGAATGCGATTTTTTGTCCCGCGTTCTCATTGTGTTCTATCCGGTTTATTCGTGTGTTCGCGAAATGGGTTGATATTGATGTTGTGATTATTATAGAGAAAACGTTTGTATATTATGATGGACGTCATATAATCAATTCTGTGGTTAGCCCAACATTAAGAAGGAATGGGGGAATATTTGGAATTAATACGCGCTAATTAGGTTAGAAGAAACTTCCCCGGTGGGTAGTTTCTGGTAAACTAGACATCTGAAACTGAAAAAGGGGCTAAATACCAGCCAGATACAATGCACTAGTATTAAGCTGGGGGTATCATAAAACACTTCAATGTCGTCGATACATATAGGATACGCAGGACGATTGATCTAAATTCTGTCATAAATGATCGGTACATAATTATAAACACTAGGAAGAAGTAAGGGAATTGATGTACTTTTCATTGATCCGATTTACTTGGTCACAGGAATGAATCAGAAAACGGTTCTTCCATCAATCAAGTGAAAATAGACACAGCAGTAGTCGGATTGGTATGTCCTTGTGTCGTTCTTGTAGGTTGGATTGTGTTGGACGCGTGTTAAGCCATATGACCAAATAAAAAACGGGTTGTCCAGTTGTGTCCTCTCTTCCACGTTTACATATACGTTGGGCTCGAAGCAAGAGGCGCTTCTTCCGATCCAAGGTCTACGCCGAACATAGCAATCACCTTCCTTGTGGGAAGCTGTCCGCAGTCGTGATCTCTGCTCCATTTATCTATTCGGCTATAACCACTTCACCGACAGAAGGCAAGAGGCTAAGATGTTATCATTTGAAGATGAGGAAACAAGGGCTGCATCAATAAAATCCAATGAGCATTACGGAATACCATGTACGGTCGCATTGTCAATGTTGAAAACTCTGAAACGTTTATAAAATCAACAAATCCGCCTCGTTTGATTAATCATGAACATACACCTGTCAACAAGGCCTAGTATGATATTGTTTTCTAAATTGGAAAGCGATCTGAGTGTCCATTTTTTGCGGAGATTAGAGAAAACTTACTGGTATGATATAAAAACCGATTCTTCACAATGCTTCTTCGACGCTGGCCTGTCAACAACAACAACAACAACACTTTCTTTGTTGCCTT